GTGTGAGAGGGTGTGCCTGAGTGTGTGAGAGGGTGTGCCTGAGTGTGTGAGAGGGTGTGTCTGAGTGTGGTGTTTTGCTGTCTCTCCCACTGTGGGGTGTGTGTGTGGGTGTGTGTGTGTGTGAGAGAGAGACACACACACACAGTTTGTGGCAGAGCTAGTGAAGAGTTACTCATCAGGTTCGTTTAGGGCAGAGAGCGGCCAATAGCCATTCCAGCCAGAACACACACACACACCTTACCAATGACTTTAGAATCTAAGTAGGAATAAAGAACGTAGATTTTATACTTTCTAGGTCTCAACTGGGTACTGAGCCTGTATGTGCGGATCCTCTAAGAGATCATAAAACCTGGACCAGCCGCTGCCCCAATGCATCCTGTTCTCACCGTCTTCTTGGTGGAAAGGCACCCGCGGCTAGCAGCCGCTCAGCCTCCGCCCTCACCACAGCCGACTGAGGCCTCCCCAGCAGCAATCCTCACTCTGCTCTTACCCACCCTCCTCCACACCCAGAAACCCGACACTTCCAAAAATATTAAAGACATTAACCTTTTCATAAAAGGATTAAAAATCCCTTAATAATCTTAACCAAAAATGCTTCCCATCATCAACAGTACAATTTCAGACAATACTCTCCCCTCGGGGCCTAGACATTTCTAGAAGGAATGCACTAGGTCCTAACCCCAAACCAATGTTTCCTTTACTAGGCAAGCAAAATAATCTATTGAACTTGAGCATGAAGGAATTTTACTTTATCAGTAATAAAAGTGGACATTAAGAATGTCTTAATTGACGCAGAGAAGTAAAGTTCAAATATATTGGGCATAATCAGTAAGAAAAAATTTCAGTATTTTCCAGTTAGAATCATGTAACTAAAGAATGATTGGATATGGCCTAACATCCTGTTAAAAATAAAATTTTAGTGTAAAATACTGTGCTATAACTTTGGTATAGGCTTTCAAAACATCTGTAAGAAATATCAGGACCACTTTATAGTTTTTTTAGATTTTAAAGATTATAAAGAGCACATATGCACAAGCTGGGGGAGGGGAAGAGGGAAAGAATCTTCAGGCAGACTCCCTGCTGAGTGCAGAGCCCTATCCCACAACTCAGGAGATCATGACCTGAGCTGAAACCAAGAGTCAGACACAACCAACTGAGCCACCCAGGTGCCCCAGATTTCAGAGAAAGAGCAAGCAAGCATGAGAGAGAGAACGAGGGCTCCATGCCCCACGGGGGGGGGAGGGGCAGAGGGAGAGAATCCTCAAGCAGACTCCCTGCTGAGTGCAAAGCCCATCGCGGGGTTCAATCCCAACACCCTGAGATCATGACCTGAGCCAAAAATCAATAGTGGGATGCTCAACTGAGCCACCCAGGTGCCCCTCATATTGAAGAGTAATTTGTGTCCCCAATTTCATAAACTCTTTTTCTAGAGCATCATTCATTTCTTCCCCTCTGAACCCAGAAGACATTTCTTATCTGCCTTATTCTTTTGTCATTCTTGGATTTTTGACAGACTGCTATTGATAGCCTGCATTTATTTGTTCAAAAATATTTTGATAACTACAGCAGACTAAGCATTATACTGAACATTGATGACAATGTGAACAAAGCTCCCACTCCTTGGGAGCTTATGTTCTAAAAGCTGGATGGGGCTTTGGATTGGATAGAATTGGATAGGGCCATGCAAGTTTTTCCAACTTTATTGAGGTATAATTGGCAAATAAATGTGTAGT